CAACTTGCAAACAGGAGGATGGCTCAGAGGTCGTGGTGGGAGGAGCTCAGGTTACCGGATCCAACACCAGGAAACACATCCTGCAGGTCTCCACTTTTCAGATGACCATCCTCATGCTTTTTAACAACAGAGAAAAGTCCTTCTTTGAGGTAAAGTATTAAATGGCTAATAAAATGTTCCTTTTGTAACACAGAAACTGAAACAACACCTGCAATATCAGCAGGAAAAGCTGTTTTCTCTGTTATGGTTCTGCTTGGTGTGTCAAACTGAATCCCTCCATTCTGTAGGAGATCCAGCAGGAGACAGACATCCCAGAGAGGGAGCTGGTGCGTGCACTGCAGTCTCTGGCCTGTGGGAAACCTACTCAGAGAGTTCTCACTAAGGAGCCCAAGTCCAAGGAGATTGAGAATGGCCACGTGTTTACAGTCAATGACCAGTTTACCTCTAAACTACATCGTGTCAAAATCCAGACAGGTATTTTTACAGGTTAAATTATATTTTTGTAAAAAAACAAAAAAAATTAGATTTTTTTTGCACATGCAGAGCAGAGTCTTTTTGATGATAAAGAACAAATCAGTGCATTGCGACCCTGAACTGTATTGCAGTCTTAAACCCTTTTCACACATCCTTCTCCTGAAAAACTCTGGAGATTTGGCTACCCGGAGGTTCTTTAGGCTATGTGTAGACGCAAACAGCCGCATTTTTCGCGCAGACTTTACCCAGAGTTTCTCCGGCCAGACCCCTTGTATTTTATCCGCAGAAAATCCGAGTAAGCTGATGTCTGAACGCGGCAGCATATACTCCAGAGATTTTCAATTTGAGCCAATAGAAAGAGAATGACGTTTATATACAGTGACTGCCTAAAGTGTCTGCACGAGATCACTACGATCTCCGTGCACGTAATTAAACGGCTGCATTCTGTTTTCTGTTCGTCAGTATGTTGTTCTCCTCTCTTTTGTGGATGTTGTCATTCCATTGGATTACATATAGCATTGATATAAAGGCAAATACTCTCATTATAGCGTCGTGTAGCGGACTCTGTTGCTATGGCCGCTACTTCCACGTTGTTTATTTACGTCATGTCTTACCTCAGGAAATCCCCGATCCCCTCCCCTCTGACAGCAAAAGTCTCCAGCTGTGAGGAACATATGTGAACGGCTAGGTTGGAAGAATCTCCGGAGAAGTCCTCCTGTAAATATCTAGATATTATCCAGAGTGCGTATGTGAAAACGGCTTTAGAGAAAAGGAAGTCCATAGGTTTTATTGTTTTCTGATATCATGTTATATTGTCATCTCAGTATCTGAACATATAAAGAATATATACACCACCAGTCAAAAGTCTGGACACACAACAGAAAGAGTATTATAAATTACACAGTATACTATCTTATCATATTATAGTTACTGGAAGCTGTATAGGGCACATCTACTAGTAGAACGGTTTCATTATTTTGACTATTTTCCACAGTTTAGAATAACAGTAGCTATGAAAACAATACAAATAAAACATTTAATTTCACTTTCGTTTAGGAAAGAAATGCATACATACGTAGGCATCAACTTCACTATTTATATTTATATAAGAAACACGTGTCAAACATTTAAGCATAAGCCTTTAGATCAAAATGTATATGAGAAAGTAACATGCATTTCAGTCAGGTGTGTCCAAACTTCTGACTGGTAGTGTATGTCTTGTTCCTCTTAAGTCATCACAGTCAGTATTAAGAGCTCCTGTAATAAAAAAGCATTTTGTAGTGATTTAATTATTCTGCTTGTCTTGTGTTTTTTTCCCCTTTGCATTTCCTAGTGGCTGCCAAACAGGGCGAGTCAGACCCAGAGAGGAAGGAGACACGACAGAAAGTGGACGACGACAGAAAGCATGAGATCGAAGCTGCCATTGTTCGAATCATGAAGTCCAGAAAGAAGATGCAGCACAATGTCCTAATAGCAGAGGTCAGTCAGCTGAAATTGTTACATTTTATCCACAATTCCAGTAGTTTATTATTCAATTTAGTGAGCCACCCCCAAAAAGAAAAAAAGACGAGAGAGAGCAAAAGATGAAAAACAACAGTTCATGGCAACAAAATTTGTGTAATTATAATTAAAACATGATGAAAAGTATGACCTTGTTTCTGTGTTTGTGTTTCTGCAGGTAACGCAGCAGTTGCGAGCACGATTTCTCCCTAGTCCCGTAGTAATCAAGAAGCGCATTGAAGGACTCATTGAGCGGGAATATTTGGCACGAACACCAGAGGACCGGAAAGTGTACACTTATGTAGCATAAAGCAAGTCAATTCAATGAAAACTAACTTGGAGTTGAAAGCAACTGAGAGCCTTGTTTCTTTGTGGACTGCTATGCGTTTGAAAGAACTTGGAAGTGCTTTCAGCATTCATTCTGGGAAACACTGGGAAGCTTAACTTTATCTTCCGTGAAAATGTGTTTTAAAAAAAACCTTGGGGAAGTTGGGGAAGTTTTCTGGCCATATAAGATTACTTCAGCTGAAAAAAAAGAATGGAGGGGATCTAGTTTTTTTTTTTTTTTTAAATCATGTTTCTTGTGGCCTTTGGAGAGATTTGGGCAACCTGTTGTGACAATTAACGACATGATGTCGAGAACGAGAGTGAACATGTCAAAGAGAACATGCGGCTACATGGAGACCAGGAAAATATTTGAAATCACTCCCGTTTTAATGTTTGTGTCAATGTGTTCTTTTTTTGTTTTCTCTTTGTCTTTCTTTTTTTTGTGGCACATTGATAGCTGTACAGGATGACAGACACTCTTGGCCTTTTCCTCCCAGAGGATTTTAAATTGAAAGCAGAGGTGGAAGTGTGAACTGGTACAGACCTGGTTTACAACAACTGTAAAGGTCCATTTTGAGTACTTGAGCAATCATGGAGTGCTTAACTTGTGTTGCAGTTCTGTCGGTTTTTGTTGAGGTTGTTTTAATATCTGATTAAAAAAAAACTAAGTGCACCTCACATAGCCAAAATATTTAATGTCATTTTCAATATTTTAGCCAGGTCTGTACTTGTGCTTAGAGAGCTGAAGAGCTGTAGCTTCACAGCATGCTTTTGTCCAGCAGATGGATCAGAGGAATATGACACACAAAAGCTCCATAAACAGTGTTTGGTCTTTCGTGACACATTTTTCACTTCAGGCCTGCTGTATGAAAGGCCAAAAAATGTATTTCCTCTCTTTGAATGGAAGGTTCTCTTGTGGTGCAGGTTACAGAGGACTTATTTTTCCATTCTCGACTGCATTTTGAACGGGTGGAACCAGTCCAGCACCATGTTCTAATTGTACAAATTGTAAAATAATTATTGTACTCACTGCAAAGGTGGATTGTACAGGGCCTTGTTTTCATCATATTAAATGTAGAATAAAAAAGTGAAGGGATGGGCTCTTTTTTTTAATATCTTTGAAAAGAAGGCCACAATTTGACCATTATTAAAGCTACGTGTGAATGGTAAGACCTAGTCCAAATCTATTCCACATGAAATTGTTTTACTCCTCAGCACATTGTTTTTTTTGTGGATTGTGTGATTTAAGTGCAGCTTTAATCTTTGGAGAAACCACACCCAGCAAAATATGAAGTTTTGTTCTGACTCTTTTGTAGAGGTGCAGATTCAACTGTGTTGTTTGTACTGTGATGAATCATGTTGTAAGGGATTTCAAGTATTTACCTAGTGATATATAAGAGGACCAAACTGTTAAAAACAACACAGGCCCAACTAACTAGAAGAGACTAACAGATACAGGATGTTTAAAACAGAGTAAACATTCACTGATCTGTGATGAAGCACCAGATATACTTAATATAGTAGCTGGAATGAAAATAGTTGTTATTCATCTGTGTTTTCCCAGAATATGACCAATGAAAGTCAATCACAAGGCTTTGCTTTCTTGAAAAGATAAGTCTAAAAATGAATATGTAGCATTATCAACAAGTTTTAGCATTGACCATCATCTGCTGTGCTACATGGGCTGCAGAGTATTGCAAACGATGGGGTCAGAGCACCTTAGCTAGACTAAATATGTTATTTACATTGGCACTATTGAAAGACACATGTACCAATTTATCAGTTTAGGCCTATGTCGAGCAATTGATAGGCAAGGCTCTGAACTATGGCCTCCTTTGGACATTTCTTAAACATTAAAAATGGAAATAAATATAAAATGAAAAAAATAATTCCAGATATCTAGTGACTAAATTTCCTAAATTAAAATTACCACACATTAGGCCTTGAGCTTGCAATGACACTTCATTCCTAGCAATAATTATTTTATGCAAATATTCAGAATATTAAATATGTGTAGGAAAAATGAAGTTGTGGAAATCTGAAATTAAAGGCCCCAATACACATGAATGGGCAAAAGTCACGTAATTTCCCCAAGGAATAATGTTCCTTTGGTAATTCAAGTGAGTGAGAATACACTTTAGATGAGATGGGTCAAAGGGGGCCTGCTGACATGGATATCTAAAGTAAAATTACTTATTAGTGTGTTTGCCTGAAATGTTAAAAAGCTTTTGCCAGGGGCTATAGATATAGAGAGACTACATAGTTGTATGAAACTAAAAGCTTTGCTTCAAAGGCGAGCTGTTTAGGAGTGTAATACTCTTAACAATGTGTTTAATTTCCAGGGGTCAGAGCCTCCCCTCTACACGTCCCCTGCACTTTTAAATCTGTCCATCTGGGCTTGTCCCCTTTGTCTTCTCACATTGTTCGACACACGCCATCTGCTCCGTGTTATCAGAAGCGGCTTTAGATTTAAAGTAGCAAAACTTCTGCTGCTCCCTTTCGCCCGGATTTTATTCTCAGTGTCGTCCTCAACACAGATCAGCATTTATGTTCACTGAATGAGTTCTTCCTGAATTATCAAGAGCCTCTATTCTAACCTCTAACATAACGGTGTGTGGTTGCCTGGTGACGTCAGCGTCCCAGCAAAAAAAAAAAAAAAAAAAGTCCCATTTTTTTTTTATTGTTGGACTGGTGCAGGCTGCTGAGGGAAATCAACAACAAAAAAGGATGCCTTTTCATTTCAGCCCCGACGAAACGCTCAAACTTTGTGTTGGAGGAGGGCTTGACTAAATGTGAAAGGTGGTAACAGGCTATGTTTCTAAGAGCGGCGGTGTGGAAGAAGATAGAAGACGATGAAAACGTGGAGTCCGGAGCTGAAGCTGCAGAGTGAGTCTCCCTGCTGTTAGCCCCGTGGCTAACAGCAGCTAGGACAACTTCGCCTTTTCTGCTGTAGCCACAATGGAAAATAATAGTGTGTGAGAAAGTTTACTGTGAAATGCGCTGACATTCCGAGCTTGAAACTTCACCTCTTGTATTCACCATAAGCGCTCCCCTTGAATGTATTACAAATGTACGCGTAAGGTGTTTTCTTCATAATTCAGCATTTAAGCGCTTCTGTTTAGCGTTACAATAGATAATGTGTTGTCATGGTGACCGAAGCGAAGGGGGCAGGTTTCCAAAAACCACACGACCACAAGATGGAGACAGATTTTTGTCTTTCAACCAGAACGGGCTGAACTTTTGAAAACACAGCTTATGAAAGTAATCAATCAATGTGCTTTTATTTTGTGTGCCGTTTAGGTCTGACTACAGCAGGATGTCATCATCTGGCAGTAAGTGTTCCTTCACTCTTACAACCCAAGTAGTTCACTTTTAGTCACAGGAGTGTTGAGGTGGTCTAAACTGAGCAAGAGCAGAATACATAAATATCATGACTTTTCATCTCTACCATAAACCAAGTTTAAAATCCCTGAATCTTAGGGCTCTTGAAATGCATTTTTACTGCATTTCTAACGAAACCGTCCTCTATTTAGCCCTGAAAAGTATTTGATGTCACCCTCTCATTGAAAGTAGTCTATGTATTATACAGAGATATCTAAGTAAACATAAAGGAGAGGCTATATTGTCCGTCTTGTATTGATGATGACACAGGTCGTAATTTAGCAAAGGTAAACGCAATGTATTGATTTAATTAATTGTTTTTTTTATCGTAAGGCTACTATACCTTGTCAGTAATATTCCTCATGGCAAGCAAACTTGTGATGATGGTAATACTAGTAGAGGAACCAATCTTTAATGGTTTCTGATGCTGTCTCAGTGATGCCCAGGTTTAACATTCTCATGTTTCATCTTCTTTTATGTATTTTTATTTTATTTGTAAAGGGACCGTGTAAAACATCTCGGTGCACTAAATTTGCATTTAGTGTTGTTTTTGTGTGGAATCACAGTTGAGCTCATGACCAGCCGGGTCAGACAGAAACGGCCGCAGCAGCCACTCCTGCTAATGAACCTTCATCTGCTGTCCAACCCTGGAGACTCACTGCTGCTGCAGCAAACCCTGGATCGCCTCCTCCGCTGGCTCTGTCCTAGCCTTCGCATCTTCCATGTGTCAGAGAGGGCCTGCCCGTTCAGAAGTTACACCCGTCTCTGTCCTGTGGCAGGTGAAGCTCTCTCATGTGTTGTTTTGCATTTTATAAACATGTTACATAGGCAGGTTTAAGTATTCATATGCGAAAAGGAACATGCTTGCTAGATTTGAGAACAACATATTTTTTTACAGAAATTCATATTTACATTACAACTTTCATGCATGAAAAATAGCCCATAAAATATTGAACTTCTTAGCGATTACTATTTATTGTTGTTTATAATGCAAAGAATGTATCTGTTTTGATTTAGGATTTACTGGGAATACATTTTAAAAATACATTTCTAAATATGTTTCAGGCTTGCCTTCTCTGGCCATCACTTTCTTCCTCCATGAGGCATATGGAGAGGAGCGAATCCTCAAAGTGGTGGACTTCTTCCAGCGTCCACCGTGGCAGTACCACCACACCGAGAGCTGCAGCAGGCAGACCGTAGGGATCCATATCACATCCAGCTGTTCCCCCACCAATGCACTAATGCAGCCCTACCTCCTGCCCAGCAGAGACTTTTACAGCTTGGGCGCAGGGATGCCTGTGTGGGGAGTTCGACCAGTACACTGTGGAGGAGAGATACTGCGTGTGACGCTGTACAGTGGATATGACAACTATGAGGACGCTGTGCGGCTCTATGAGACGGTGTTGCAGCGACAGGCAGAGGAGCAGAAGACAGGCTTCTGCTGGTTCACTCTCCACACCGGTACGTCTTTGAATGTTAAAGTTGTAAGCAAGGGATGAGCAACTTTGATGACCAAAAGGGTCACAATGATTTAATCCTGACTGCTCAATGGCCAAGTAGATACACATTTTAGTATACTTTCAATTAGCAGATTATGATTATTTACAGTTTAATAAAGGGACAATCATGAAGCTTTCATCTAACCTAATTATTCTAGCATTTTTGTTTTCAACCCAAATGTAAATAATCATGCTTAACTTGATTAATTGACACAGATACAGTTTAAGCAATTTCAAGCGTCCAGTTACTTAATATATATTTTACTTTCATCTTCTTTTTAACTGCATTTAGTAATGCTTCAAAAACGAGCCAATTATATGTCCACATTTGTTGAAAAGAACAAAACATACAGTATAACAGCAATCAAAAGACTTTATTTCAGTATTTCTACTTTGTATGTTCTAATGCTTTTGTTCTGTGAATGGTGTTTTAAAGTTGACTCAGGTTGATGTCCTTCCTGGAATGTTTCATGTCCAGTGGTGTTTGGCAGTTTTATCATTATAACAAAATTAAGTTAAAACATCTCTTTTTTTTTTTCTTTTTTTTACTTTTTGGAAAAACGTTTTTAACCGTCCTCATCACATTCCTGTCAGAAAAGCTCTTTGTCTCTATATTTGTCTGTTTCGTTTGCCCCTCCACACACAGAGCCCGGGCTATGCCTGCAGCTGGCTATAAAACAGTTGTCACAAGGGGTTCGGGTGGAGCCATGCAGCTCTGCTGTGCTGCAGTTCAGTGTGGAAGAAATCGGACAGCTAGTTCCTCTGTTGCCAAATCCCTGTACCCCAATCAGCACAACACGCTGGCAGACAGAAGACCTTGATGGCAACAAATTACTCTTCCAGGTAAGTGCAATCGAAACTACACCTAATGTTAATCTGTCAAAAAATAGGTATTCAAAGTTTTTAGAAAATTGTGTATGTTTGATTACTTTAGTTTGCCTTACGCTTACGTTGTGGACATGATTATTCAGTTCCTGCTTTTGAATTATAGGTTTGTCTTGCAGCAGAATGTCTGATTTATTTGTGTGAGTGAATTAAAATCTACTCCACTTTGCTCTAGTTGATTTATTACGGGTTAATTCACAAGGTTTGTTACACTTGTTGTTGCTCTGGTCTCCAGTAGTCTGCTGGAAGGTTAACTTGTGATGGTTAGGACAGGATCTGTGTTAATTATCACACTAAAATATTATTTCTTGTACAGGAAGGTTTGTGCTCAGTAAGAAGCTTGCCAAGTTTCTCGATAGCATAAGGAGATTGCTTTGGATGTAAGCAACAGTTGCTTTTCAAACAAAGGACTAAAAATGTTTACAGTGTGTCATGTTTATGTTAGAGTTTGACAGACTTATGATGATTTAACGTATGATTCATCTAGAAGAAGATTTTCTACTATTCTCCAATGAACTGAAAAAGAAAACATACACACACAATTAATATGGTATACAATCATAATACTTCATTGTTAATTGTGATGAGAAATAGTAGAATAGCTGAGTTTTACTGCTATTTCTCTGTTGAAGGCAAAGTATGACATAATAAATGCATGTTTTTCTTGACTGAATGTGTAATTAGTTTATGCGTTTGATGTCTTTCAGTTGCTCAGAACAAGAAAAAATCTTCAGTTTAAAAATATTCCTATGACCGACCCTTGTGATCGTTCATTTAACAATAGGGAGAGAAAAGCACTTTTCGTATCACTCTTCCTGTGTTAACATTTGATCAATCAATCCATCAATATTCATGAGAGCATATCTTGTCAGTACTCTGTGTTAAATATATGATGAAATCATTAAGGCGTGTGGTTCCTTCTCATAGCTTTCCCGAGCTGTCACAGCAGCCATATGTCAGATGCGTGTATGTTAATACTGTCAAAGTTACTTATCTTGCTTAAATCTCTTTAGTCCGAGTGTAAATCATAATCCCTCTCCTCCTGTCCTTCTGTGCTGCAGGTGAACACCCCGACCCAACCTCAGCGGCCTCTGACCTGTGCTTTCCCTCTGACCTACCCCAGCGTGTCCCCTCGAGGAATGCAGCTCAGGAGCTCAGGACAGAGTCACAGCCTATCGCCCTGCAGCCTCCCAACATCGCTGCCCAGGCAGACACGCAGGCAAGGTGAGTATACAGATGGGAGACTGTGTCAAGATGCTGAGCTCAGCTGTTCACCACGGTGTGTTGAATGTATATTCAATTTTAGTTGCCTAAAATTTACAAGGAGCGTGGAGAAGATGCAGCAGAAGAGGAAGCTAATGCTTGTTGATCTGACACAAACAGAACGATTGAACTCAAGTCGTACATCCTTTATTTTATTTTCCCCACTTCTCACAGATGAAGTAGTAAGGTTTGTTTTACCTATTACGCCTTCAAAGTTTCCTGTGTAGGTTTGGACTGTAACTAGAACTGTTGATCAGTTTTTATAGCTACAAACTCAATGGGATGCCAAAGGCAGGCAAGAAAAGCAGAGCACTGAACAGACATTATAACAATTCTGGAGTAAAATACTTTTTAAGGTTAAGGCAGCCTTTAATATTTGATGTGAAAACAGTTTGCAAGATTAAACAAGCCATTTAGCTACATGACTATGAAGTGAGTTGAAGTGTTGTTGACACACTTCAGTACAGTAATGTGTTTCTCATTCTTGGCCCATGAGCCTTTTTTAATGACCCAAAATTAGCATGGTGCAAGAAGTTTGTACGCTGAAAATGTATCTACTTCTTGTATTTTAGATTTTCTCATCAAATATGCAATGACAAAAAAACCTTACATTCATGGTGGTATATTAGTTTAGATACTTATTTTCCATTTCCGATTTATCAGGATAAGAAGTCAAAGAAATCATCAGTCCTGTGAAGCTAACTCTGATCAGTATCATGACATCTGAGTTTATAAATAGGGTTTGTAAGTATCCTCCTGACTCTGCTTGATGCGTGTCTTTGTGTCGACAGGTCCCAGGCCGCGCAGTGACCCCGTCCTGGAGAAGCTTCATGGCGGAGCAGAGAGTCTGGGATCAGGAAGCTGCTGCAGCACCCCTCCAGGCAGCTCCTGTTACTCATCGCAGCGCAGCAGTCCCTCAACCACCAATCACCCTGAGTCTCCTCTGCGCCCCTCTATAACCCGCTCCCTCTCCCATCTCCTTCTGGAGGAGGAAGAGGAGCCAGAGACCAACGTGGACACTGGAGTTGCTGTCACACCTCGCTCTGAAACTGCTGTCACAACAATCATTCGCTCTTCTTCCATGGACCTTTTAAATACACCCAGTTCTGAAAGACCTGCAGCTGTTGGGGCATCAGCCAGGTATGGTCTGGCCAAGGAACTGATTGAATGTCTGCCATTGAAGCATATAACACTGCAGGGCCCCTCGCAGACAAGGGGCTACGCGGGTTGTCTAGATGCAGCCAGGCAGGGCTGTGGAGGCAGGACTCAGGCAGCAGGACAGAGTCCCTCCAAAAGGCCTGTAGTGGAGCTGCTGTCAACAGGTTCAAACAGCGACCAGCAAGTAGATGAGTTCTTCATCTAAAAACCCTCCAATACACAGCTCCCTGTGGTGATGAACACACTGCAGACAAGATGAGACACCCTGTAAGTGGATCTGAAGTCATGCTGGAGGACACAGCTGAGCAGCTTGACATCTTCTGTTGTCATGATTGCTGCTCTTATGTCAAAATTTGGCTGCAGGGGACACTTTCCACTCAGAAGTTACTTGAAGTCTAGATTCTGAAAATGGTTAAATTCATCTCATGAGTTTTAATGAATATAATGTACAATGCTTCTAATCTGTTTGGTACCTGTAGACAAAGTGGAACAAGATCACTTATATATTTGAAGGCAATGCAGCTAATGAAACAATGAATGTCTTTTCATATCACTAATGATATGTGCAGCTAAAGTGCTGAAATGCATCAATGAGAATAGTAAAACATGAAGGAGGCGCTCTGTATGAGGAGTTACTGTCAGGATATTATGCCAGTCCAGTCCTCTGTAAGATAAATCATGTGTCGATGAGAGAACAGAATTAGTCTGACTTTGCTTCACAGTGTATATTTGTCAAACCAAGCTTCACACTGTTAACAGATAGCTAATTGGCTGTTGATGACTTTTGTTTGAGTGCACTTCAGAGCAGTTAACTGTATTGAAAAGGATTTATTCCTCAGATAGCATAGAGATAACAGGATTTTCTAAATTACCACTTAAAGAAAACTGACTTAAAGAAGGTATTTAGTGTTTAATATATATTTTTAAATTGTAATCCACCATTAGTATGTAAGCTGTCTTAAACTGAACCTGTGACTTCAGAAATGAGGCCACAGTGAGATGAAGTAACAGAAGACAGATGAAATTTAGTGCAACCTCAGCAAGTGCATCAAGTTTGGGCTCCAAAAGACGGTTGTCAAACTCAATAGAACAAACCATTGTAATGATTGTAGCAGTTGGAGACAGGTCTTCTACTAGATATCAGAGAAAGTGAATCTACCGTGTCTTTTTAACTCTAGTTTCTCTTGGTCTGACTAGTCTCTTTCATAACAATGATTTCTTCAATTTTTTTCCTGTAAAGTGAACTTTCAAAATTGGATTGTGACCTTTAGAAATAACCTATGAATCAATAAAACCGAATCCTTGTTTATTTTTGTGTTATATGGCTTCATCAAATGCACATAAGTTAAGGTTATCCAGGGTTAGGGTTATGGTTAAAAATGTGTTAAAAATGTTTCTGTTTGTTTCTGTTTAAAGAAAAAATCAACAGTGAGGCTTCTTTGTGTTTAAAATGCATTGTGATGCAGAGAAATGTCTGAGGGCTTAGAATGAATACATACCGGTACATAAATAAAACCGATTTCGGTCGTGGACGGTTTGTGAAGGATAACTGTCTGTTGTCAAAATGTATAGCTGCGAGAGAAGTGTACTCGATAATGAGCTGAGGGATCATCGACTGACAGATGACTGCTCTGCCTGCACTGATCAAAATGATGAAAAATCACGCTCTCAGCAGATGGTTATAAGAAAAGGTCTTAGGACATTGTCTGATTTTTCATTACACACTGTTGACAAACTACTGTTGCGTTTCACCCTCAGTCACAAAAAATAGACTAAATTGTATTCAGGTCTTATGGATAAAATGGAATCATTTCACCTCAATACCTTTCTTTAAATGCATGACTGTATTGACAGCTGTCAGCTTAGTGATAATATTTACCAATTATCCCTTGTCATGACATTGTTTACCTACCTGCACTGCTCTCCTAAACTTCATGTTCTTGTTGGTTATCATGTTCAAACAGTTGAATTCTCTACCTCCTCTTTTAAAGATGTGAATCAGAGTTAGGATACATAATGTACTGAGTGTACTAAAGCATGCAAGTTAGAGGGAACACATGATTCCAGGCCACAGTAAGGAAAATATATTTATACAATATGTTACATATGTCAGTGACATAGCAGAAGGAATGATATAAACACATATCTTTCTGTTTCTCTTTTAGTGTGTGTATACTCAAAGAGACAAGAAGATGGGTTTCAAAGCATAGTTTCAACCAAATGTAGTGTGCATACGTATCCATTGCTCTGCAGTATAAAATACGATAGGTGAACCCAAATAATTATGGTAGTTTATTTTGTTAAATCCCTTCATCTCATGACTTTTTTGAGCTTTGGCCCCGTCTGCCACATTAAATTCCACTGTTGCTGAAAGCAAATAGCCACCTGTATATTTCAGGAAACACTCACACATTGCACTTTTCTAAAGCTAACAGCTCCCTCTGCTGGTCAAAGGATGTTATTGCTCAAGGGAGCGTTGCTGCAACCAGTCCAGCTCAGATCCTTGGCCCATTGGCCCTCCTTGGTGACTCGCACCTTGACGGGGTCAAACTTCCAGAAGCGCTGTTCTCTGAACAGGTAGAGGCGTCCGTCTGGACGGGTCAGAGCTCCATTGGTCCCTTGTGGTACACCGGTCCAGTCTGTAAGCCTGCGGGGGTAGTAGGGCTCTTGATGCAGGGTTTTAAGATTAAGCACAGAGTAGCGGCACCCCTTAAAAACTACCATGTGACCCAGAGGAGCGTAGAAGAAGGCACAGTCAGGGTGGCGAGGGAGCCCCAGCTCACTGCTCTTTCTGGGGAAGCCAGGGTCCAGGACGCTGCCTGTGTAGCGCCACATCCGTTTTCCTGCACACCCAGAGGCATGAAATGATTATAAACTCTTGATGTTTTCTGATATCTTTTGATAGTTTTTGTGAAACACGTCATTATCCCATGATATTTGATTGTTGAAGTTCCACAAAGTAATCTGTTATTTAACATCACATGACATGAGATAAAGACAGGTAAACATCACCCATGCTCTTCTCACGATATATAATAAATGATTCCTATTCCTGTAAACAATTTAAAAGAAGCAACGGTCTTTCAAAACTAGGAAATCAGACTCTGAAGACTTGTCTTGCATCCCCCCCAGAGAAGGACTTTGAATAAACGAGTATTTTGGGGTCCATTGCTTTGAGGAAACGTAGACTGCTACTTGTACTCTTAGGCCTCATTTCTTTTACAGACAACAAGGGACAAAGAACAAGAAGAAGATAATTGAGAAAGAATAGAAAATGTAAGGCGTTTCAATTTGCATAAAACTGTTAAGAGCATTGATCTAATAACACTGTCAGGTTTTTGGCAGCAAGGCAAAACTTTAAGTCAAGTTATTAGCCTTTAGCACGAAGGTGAAGGGACTTACAAATTACAGCAGAGTCTTTAAAAAGTACTTTCTTATTTGAATTCCACTATATAGTCTATTATGGGGGCATTAACAGATAGGTGAAGTAAGGCAATAGGTTAAAGGAATGCCTGTAAAAAGAGGTGTGAGTCACATTAATGGGCTCACTGAAGCACTACCTTTGAAAAAATACCACTTGGAGTCCAGTGGGGAGAAGGCTGCAGCTTCAATGGCTGGAGGAAGGTCAGACCAGCGCTGACGGAGAGGCAGCGGGCCGCTTACACCATCGTCAGCTGATACTGTCCAGTACACACTGCCCCGAAATACCAGAACTGTCTGGTTCTGGTCTGGATACACACAGACAAAACGGTCAATACATATTTACTCCAGTACAGTTTCATATTTTGACCAAAACAAACCTATCTTCTCTGGCTTTTTAAGCATCTGTAGTAACTACGCTTATGAAGGATCTGGTTGTTTGGGATGCCCCTCATAACATTTCGTCTGGAACTCACCCATAGTGATGGCATCAAAGACACCTTGGCAGTAGAGGGGCTGCCCCGTGGTATGATGCTCGTTGTGAAGCTCTGTGACCTCCCACTCCTGCAGCGCGGCGTGTAGAACCTGGCCGGGAAGCCTCACAGGAAGATCACCTGATGGCTTACCTGAATGCAAAAAAACAAAACGAACAAGAAAATAAACCAAAGAAAGAACCCTCTGCTGTCACTAACTTGGAGAAGGTTGTCTATTCATCTGTTAATGTATAATTTAAAGACTTTACTGGAGCAGTCCAGTGTCATTCTCATGAATACCAAAGGCAGTGTGAGTCGTTTCTAAATTGGACAGGTCGGGAACAAATAGAAAGACAAACAGTGTTGGTTACTCCAAATCAGTTCTTGGTTAATGCGAACATTTAAATTGTCCTTTACAGGATGTGGTCGGGTAGATGTATACAGATGGCTGACATTTTACTGTAGAGGAAATAAACAGTGTAGTCCTGATAGAGGACACCAACCACCTCAACCAACTTTTAAAGTCCATCAGATTTTTTTTTTGGCCTGAACAGCCACATAATACTGACTCCTGCCACATGAGAGAAAATAATAAAATACAAAATAATGAATCAAAGCTGAATACAGAGAGGAAAGTGAAATAAACTGAAGCATAAAGAGTAAATGAGAATGTTTTAGGCGTGTTTACAGCCATTTTTCTTGTTTGTCAAGAGCTGAACAAACATTTGTGTGGGTGGAGGATAAAATCTGAACACCCAAGAACAGGAGGAAGCAGCAGGAGAAATAGATATGCACACCACAGAGGACAACATGTGGACAGCTGCCAAATAATGGTCCCACTGTGTGTCTGTGTGAGTGTGTTGTGTGTTGTGTGTGTGTTTAAGATAAGAGTTTGCATTTACCCTGGGGGAAAATGATGTACATATTGACTGTAGTGCAATTTAAATGTAAAGTTTGAGCATTTTTATTGTCAAATGCCCTCACAGGATTAACATACTTATTGTGCAGGATGATGTTGTATACTCATATACCAGAAATGTTCATGGTACAGCTGATTCAGAAGGTGCTACTATAACCAAATACATGTAAAGCTTGGTCATGTAATCCATAAAATCAATCTAAACTTTTTTTTGTTTGTTGTTGTATAGAGCATGGATGCTGATAGTGGTTAGCATGCATGGCCCATATACGGATACTTTTCCAGCATGTCATTCCCCCACTCTCTCTCTTATTGATTTCTGACTCTATCCACTGTCCTATCTCCAAGAATAAAGTTAGAATAAAATTAAACCTTTAAAAACAAATAGTATGGGGCGCTGGTGGCACAGTGGTTAGTGCATGGTATGGAGGCTGTAGTCCTCCAAACGGCCGGACCAGGTTCGTATCCCACTTGTGGCTCCTTTCCCGCATTTCATTCCCTACTCTCTCTCTCTCCGACTTCCAACTCTATCCACTGTCCTGTCTCTCCATTAAAGGCACAAAATGGCCCAAAAAAATGGTATGGTGCTAGTCATACCAAATGTAATCTCAAGACACTTCACAAAAAGATCCGGTTTAGAACATACTGTTTTTTATATTACGTTGTAGAAGGGGAGGAGTCTGTCTGAGTTTTGTTCATGTTTAGCACTTGGTTGATTATTACTTTCTGACACTAACAATATACAGAAGGTATGTCACTCCTGTCATACACAAGGGATCTAACTGAATTGTGCAAAGCTACAAGACATGTTGACTACAGAGAGTATATGACAAAGAGAAAGGCTGAAATAAACTAATTCATTAATTCATCCTTTATTGATCCCACGAGGGGAAATTCAGTTTTACACTCTGTTTAATGAACATGCTACACAAACATAGGCTGTGAGGGGGCTGCCCACAGCGAGCGCTCCAGAGCAATTTTGGGGTTCAGTGCCTTGCTTAAGGGCACCTGTGCAGTGCTCAGGAAGTGGACTGGCACCTCTCCAGCTACCAGACAAATTTCGAGACTTGGTCCGTGCTGGGACTTGAACCGGCGACCCTCCGATTCCCAACCCAAGTCCCTTCTACATGGCTACTACACTGTCAGGTATCTGTGCTGTAATATGTAAAATGTAGATTATGATATGATGAGGTCTACTCAATATTTTGGTGATAATCAAGTTATTCCTTATAGTGAGTCTATTGTTATTCTTTAAGCATCATTACTATATTTACCAGTCGTGGAGTGTACAGTAAATACTACATTTACTCTAATACTGTATTTACACTTAAAGTGCACATTTAGTGGATTTGACTTTGTTATTTCCATATTATCCTGCTTTAGTTTTCTATTCTGCTGCATTTCTGTGGAAAATTTGCACCTTTGACAGCATTACTAAACCTCAGTATGACTACAATACTTTTTTTTTTTTTATATTTACTTTTGGGCTTTTTGTGC